GTTGTAAATGCACACGCAGGTTTGAGTTGGATCTTCCATACAGTCTACATACTTTCTTCATTCTTCAAGGCATTCTATACTTAGAAAAATAGGATCACGTAGTCAATATGACTTTTGTTCTCCAAAATCCTTGTGAGAATAAAATCACTTCCTTATGTATATGAAGCCACTTTATACAGCGTAAGGTAAATAATAGGCCCTGTGCACAGAATTAAGATTCTTCTTGCTCTTAATGAGATGTACCAACTATAGTATGACTATACTGTAAACTCTTCATGTTCATATATGCATCTTTGCAATCACTTAGGTCTCAGCTAAGCTATGAAGATATAAGCATACAATGTGTGTGTTTGCGTGTGAAAGTACATTCTTGCTATTCTTAGTGGCCTGCTTGTGGCTTCAAATGCCCATACTTTGTGTGACTTGGACAATGTTGCTCAGTATGTATTTTTCTTACCCATTTTCTGTACAGTGTTTGTGTTTCGCTTCTTCTCTGGCCTTTGAAAAAAAGATATCAAGCTTATAATGTGATATGTAGGCATACTGCCTTATTCAGTAAATTCATTCATTTTATATGGTGATGCAGTGCTACATGTTGGGCAGTGAATCATACTGGATGGTTTACTATCCCTCTGATATATACCTATATATATTTCATATAAATATTCTGATTTATAGATGAGATTAGTGGGGCTAGGATTTCACACTAATAGTGTACTAACTTGTTTTAGGAATGCAAATTGTTAAAAGAGAAATCAAGTGTGTGCGTTTCTACGTGCATAATATAAGTATTCTAGTGACTCTTAATTTGAGTTTCTCTGACAGAGTACTTCAACTAGAACTAAAATTTGTGTTTCATGCTTTAATGATCAAGTGTCTCCATATGGTGCCGTAAGTCTTCCTAGACAGAAGAATACTTTTAAAAGTGAAATATTGAAAATTTTTGGCTAAAAAAATACTGATAAAATACCCCCAAATATGCTTGTTTTGAGGGTTCTCTATACACAGCTCCAGGAACTTTTACACACAGGCACATGTGCATGAATCGCTCCATATAACTGACAGACACACTAATCACCTTAGAACTATAAAAAGTAAATGTATTTTGAAGTTTTATTACTACTAAGATAAATCATTTGGGGCTATTCAAGGTTATCTGATAAAGCAGTCTATTTGTCAACATTTCTTTTGAGAAAGAGAATAAAATCATTGCTTTAAAATTATGATGTAAAGATGAGTTTGCAACTATTTTTTGCAAGAAGTATCTAAATGCTTAGCAGCATTTATTGTTTACTTCTATTCTTCACATTTCCATGGTAAGATAAGAAAGTAACTTAGTTAAAAGGGTCTGAACTGGTTCAGAGGAAAAGACAAGTTCAAAGAAGGGTAAAGGTAGCATAAATGTGAATGAACTGTGCAGCTGTCATCATTAGTTCTACTTCATATTCAGGGTTAAGATAGAGAAAGAGATAATTTATAGAGGAACTGTGACACTCAACAATGTCACATTTCTAAGCTTTGAAATGATACAGCTATTAAGATTCAATATTTCAGGCCCTATTAAAATCCAAAGTTAGTTCTTGTATATATTACCAGAAGGGGGAAATTTTTCTTCTAAGTACCACTTCTTTATATATACTGTATATATTACCATCTATATTAGGTATAAGATATATAAAAATTTATTAAGGCCTATGTCTGGATATTGTGCACTCCTAAAAGTCAAAAACAATTTTGAAAGGAAAATTGGAAAAAAAAATTCACATTTCATTCATGGAAATAGAGTAAATAGATAATAATAGGTAAAAGGCAGGTTTAAGATTGTCAAGGATGAATGTAAATTGCATTTATCATATAAATTTCCTTATGTGTACCTATTAATTGCAAATACTTGATTACAATCTTTTCTCCTTTTACAGTGCTTCCTATATGCTTACCAAAATGAAATAATCTTATACAGATAAGATTAAATCTCAGAAACTGAAGTAAAAAATGGTTTAACTCCTTGAATGACAGAAGATGAAAAAATTTGTCTATTAGGTTTGGAAGAGAGGGTGGACAGAACATACAGGACATGTAAATGTGTTTTACATAGAACATGTAAATCACAGAATCACAGAATCACAGAATCGTTTAGGTTGGAAGGGACCTCTGGAGATCATCTAGACCAACCTCCCTGCTCAAGCAGGGTCACCTAGGATATATATCCAAGAACAAAAATATGCGAGTTTGATATTTTTTTTCTTTCCTTTCTCCCTTTCAGATATTAACCTCCTCATTTTAGTTAATTTGCTCATATAAATACAGCAGGATTTTTGTATTTTTTTAAAATAACTCTTTACTGAGTATGTCAACAAGATAATATATAGTGTATAGTGAGGTTTTGAAGTTAACAATGCGTGCAACATGGCAGATTGCAGAAAACAGATAATGTAGACGTCAACCCATCTATTTTTCCATATTAAAGATAGAAAATATACCAAACACAGAACAGAATTAAATGTGCATGTCTCAGTCAAAATTAATTTTATGAAAGATCATCTTCATATATTTGGGACCAAGTGATCATAACAATTTGTTTAGTAGCATATCTGCTTCTGAGAGGATCAGAATTCAGCTCTCGTGAGGCACATTTCCACAGGGCCCCAGTATAATAAAAGCTTGCCATACCTCTTTTGTACTAGTTTTCCAGATGGACTACTAGCCAGTGTCCTTTAGAAAAGAAAGACATTCTATGCTGTACAAAAGTCTAATGCCTAATGGTTCAAAATTGTCTGTAGTATCATCTAGGATGCAAAATGCCCTGTTTAGTAGAGTTCAGGGAAGGAGTGACCATCAGCTTCCTAGGATTATCTCTGTGTTTAAAGGGAACATCAGGCAGGACTTGATGAGGCTCAGAGCCAGTAACTTTTGGTTTTGGCACTCATTTCTGTTTTGTTTTTCCACTCAGCTGGAATGTAAGTCATAAGTAAAACCACTATTTTTATGTTCTAAAAAAAAAATTTAATATCTCCTTGTTATAATTTAAGGTGAAGTACTATAAATGAAGAATTCAATGGGAATTAACCACTTCACTGTCAAAAGCTGAGACTGAACTTTCACTGCAATGTCATTAATAAAGTGTCTTATGCAGACCTTTGAAAATTATACTAATAATAAGAAATGCGTAGTCTTTTTGCTTACAAATTAAAATAAATACATTTCCCAGAGGGAAAAATTTTTTCCTCATGAAAAGAGAAAATGATTGAGAAAAAAAATAGTAGAGCTATTCCAGTTTCAAATAGCATAAACTATTTCATTTTTCTCTTTCACATCACATTCATTTTATTTACTTATTGGCCAACAGGGAAAATGCTTAATATATTTTCAGTCCAAAAAACCCAACCTCTAAATATTCTTATGAAGAAATTCAGTAATAATGTTTCCAGTGAAAACCTTTTAACATAAAGTCCATGCATCCATCAGGTGTTTGTTTCTGCTAATATGCAAGAAACACTTGTTATAGTCCTAGAACCTGTGAAAATGAGGACTTGCTTGCAAATAAGTCTTCAAATGGAACCAAAGCACTGTACATGATATTGTTGTGATATTGGTTTAGCATGATTAAACTCTCTTTTTAGTCCACTCACCAACTCTTCGGCACTTTTATGTCAGCCACTAGCGTTATACAGCGAAACAGCGAAATATGGGTAAAATGTTGTCTGTGAACTACTCATTTGCCCACAGGTCCAACAAATCTGTATAAATCAGGACCTGCAAATGAACATTTTGGAGCTTCTCATCAGTTGTGTTTGCATACATTAGGAAGTCGACTTCTGCTCCATAGTTCCCTTTAGTTAATATCTACACTTGCACTAAGTGAAGATGATCCCATTTTTATGAAGACAAGAAAAAAGCTATTGATATAGCTTTAATTTTGCATCATCGAAAGGTCATTGTCCATAATAATTTTTCCAAGCTTTGTCCAGACTTTTTCCAATATCTTTCCTAGTGCAAATTGCCCATTATCAGCTTACCTAGATGTGTCCTGAAATGAAGCCTCAGCTGTTTGCGTGACTCTGACACTTTGTTTGAAATTTCCCAAACTCTGCTGTAGGCCGAAGTCCATGAACTGTTTTGGATTTGGATAGCAATTAGAATTAGAAGAAACATTCTTTCAGTGTAAAATATGACCTTTTGTTTAACTACAACTATGAATTTGTTTAGCCAGTGCTCCTAGTTTTCTGCAAGAATTTTGGTACAAGTGGTTTAGCATGTTACTTTTTTCCAAAAGTGTATTTATAGAAAAGGAACTCTGTCAGTATCCAATACAAATATATATGTTCTTCTTCATACTGAAAAGAAGCGTAAATTATGCTATCTTTAAAATCACTTTGATTTTTGATCTAGGTAATGCAATAATGCTCCACGTATAGGTATGTACATTTAATCATTCAAGATCAAACCAAATAGTTTGTGAGTGCTTCCTGTTTTCACCTTATTAGGTCACTAACCACATTTGTTGTTATCAGTTTGGGCTTGTGCATCATTCATGCACTGTGCAGCTGAACTTCCTAAATAAGTTACTTGCTACGTGTAGGGCACCTAGCTCATCTGGAAACTATGGTATCCTGAGGCCTAGAACAGATGATGTTCATCAAGGAGGATAAGGATTCCTCCAGCATCAGTCATTGAAGTATGAAATGCTAGTACGTGTGTACATTCAAAGGACGCCTTCTGAAATCAAATGTACAGCTAGTTATTTTTGTGAGATTAAATACTACCTCCACACCCAATGGGAGTCTCTGGCTCTGCTTAATGTCAAACAAACTCTTATGTATCCAGCATGCAATAGAAGCGTGCAAAAGCACAACTATTTGCTGGTTGTCTTATGGGGTTTGAAAGCTAAAATATTATCAAACAAACAAAACAAAAGTATCAACCTTCTCATCATACTCTTGAGTAAATAGGTCACAGAGAAAACACTTTGCATAGACATTTCTACCTAGAATTACACCATGTGAAATCATATGGCAGCCTTTATTCAGCAAAATTTCAGTGACTTTACTATTACAGTAGCCACACGGGTTGCCTAAAATACCTGTTATAGCTGGAGAAAATAGCAAATATACAGAATATAGAGTGGAATTTCAGACTGTGTGATTATAAAAGGTGTTGGGGGAGGATGCAGTTCCTTACATAAAGATTGTACTTTGCCAGCTATCACCAAGTAATTGGATTCATTTTGCCATTGCAGAAAATGAGTGTTCTCATGCGATTTGAGAAACTGTGCACCCATAGACTGCCGGGATTCAAGAATGGATAGAGAGAAATAAGCAAAGGAAAGGATTAAAACCCTCTCTCCCAACATAAGCAACCTCATATAGTGAAAAATCTAAGCATTCCTTAGTAATAGCGCTTCAGCCTTTACTTCCATTCTACTTTTAATGACTTTTCCTTGTCCCTAGCTGGTCACTGTAAAAAATTTTCTCTTTGGTTCCCTACTCTGTCAGGAAAGTTTTGTCTCTTTTTTTTCCTCCTTGTTGTGAACTTTTGCTTTGTCCTCGAGCTCAGGAGAAAGTGAGTGACATTAGAAAATAAACTGAAAAAAAAGAGCTGTCAAGAAATCCAGATCTTTTGGCAGCCACAGAGTCAATGTAGTTGCTGGAACTTTATATAATTTTGAAAGCAGCTTCATGGTTTTAATACAAGTATGATGTTTTGCATAGTGCATATAAAGCTCAAGGACTCAGAAGACATTCCAGCTGAAGAATTTGAGGGAATAAAAGAGAAAATTCTAAGCCCACCTACTGCTTTTAAAGTACAGATCATTGTGGAAAATTTCCAAAAAGCTTAAGATAAAAGAAGGGTAATTTGGAGGGACAGCGTGTACTTGTGTCCTCAAAATTCCTCAGCTAATCAAATGCTTAGTTAATGTCCATCTCTATACAATTCTTGGGTGGGGGGGAAGAACAGACAGGTTTTATAGACAATTTCCCTTGCTGAATATATTTCAGTTCATAATAGGCCTGGAAGCCTTTCCAGTAATAAAAAAAGAATATCTTTCTTGTTTGTTTTCTCCGTTTGTTCGTTTCTTTGTTTTTCTTACTTCTCTATACTTAACATAACTCAGATCCCTAAATCAAATAGAGCTTGAATCATAAAAGTCAAAATCAACCTTTCCCTTAACATCATATTTTGTGTCACGTTTTCAGTAATTTGCACTTTTAGACTGCAGATTCTAAAAGGATTCTACAGAGCTGAGAATTTCCCTCATTCAGGCCTTACCTGAACATGCTGTGTCAACAAATGCTGCTCTATTAAAGAGAGGTGCAACTTAATGACAGCTATCTGTTACATACTGATAACCTTCCTCTCCCACTGAGAACGGTCAGAGAATGCCTAAAGCTTCTTAATCATAATGAAAAGCAGAAATAGATTCAAATATAAAAGTATATACTTCAGGGGAAAATTTTCAGAGTAGCTTTTGCAAATAGGAATCAAGGTCACTTTGACACTGAGTTCTGCCTACCTTTCCTCTATTCCAGGTATATTGGGTAAAAATTAATCAAATCAAAAATAGTCTTTCTGGTAGCACTCAGAACTCCAACTTTTACTTGGAGGTAGGAATAGAGAACCGATAAGGAGGAACAGAATTATTTCAAATTGTTTGAAGCTCAACACCAACTTATGTGTTTATATCAATAGAGTTGTACCCATTTTATCTGAATTGCCGTTATCTATTCCTAGTGATCCTGTTTTAATATGCACTTATTTTCCTGTACTATAGGACCGCTAGGAACTTAGATCCCTCAGACAGCTTCGACAGCAAAGTGGTTAATGTTTGAAGAATGAGTCATTCTTTCCTTTGCCATGACATTGGGTTCTTATTGTACAACCCTGTACAGTACTTAGCAATATTTTTTAAAGATTTAAAAAGCAAAGAGTTACAAAACCATTTGCATTTAACTTGAAATAGAAAAGATAGCACTTTTTTAAATCCTATTATATAGTACACCGTATAAATTACAGAGTATTCAAATGCATAAATGCATCTGTGTAACATTTATCAAATGTAATTTTTTCGTTGTTATTGGAGGGTTTACTTTTTCCAGAGTTTTTGCTCTTTGTCCTAGGTACCCCCATCTCCCCTCACTATCACGTATGACAGTGCTCCAGATCTGAGACATTGCTGTTGCAGTATCGCATGTTGTTGGGGATGTGGCAGTCTGTGTAGTTAATGCCCCCATTTGGGGTATAAATGGGCTGCAGTCTGAAATCTCCTTTAAGGAGCTGATCATTATTTAAGGAGACAATCTGGAAGCTGGTTTCCGTCATCTCCAGGATGGAGTTGTCCTTCTTGGTCCCTGCCTCGCAGTAGTCATCTTTCCGACGGCCTCGGTTATATTTCCACTTCTGGGAGGTGTAACGCCCCTTTTTGTGCATGTGCCAGCAAAAAATGCTGAGCAGGACCACAAGGACAAATATCACTGCACCCCCAATCAACCCTGCCAGCAGAAATGGTGAGCCCAGGTTCTGAGAAGTCGTCTGCTCATGGCTAGAGGGGATGTTGCTGCCATTGTTTAAATAGGAAGCCTTAGTTGTGGCTTCTGAACAGACAGTGTCTTCTCCAGTTCGGTAATTGTTATAAGCATCCAGTGGAACCAAACAAATCCGATATGTGGATTTAGGCTCCAGATTTACCAAGCTTAAGTGTTTCTTCTCACCACTAACTATTCGCTCCTGAACAATTCCTCCTACCAGACTATGGCCCATTTTTACCCATGTGAGTTTATATGCCATCACGGTAAAAAGAGACATCCAGTTAACTTGGATGCAAGTGTCATTCACAAAATGGATGGAGAGTTGAATTCGTTCAGATATGGGAGGTGTCATCTCTTCTCGGTCCTCCCTGTCAGGCACAGTGGGGAGTGTGGCTATGGCGGGAGTGAGAGGATTATATTTGCTACTTGGGGGAGGAATTGATGAGGTGGGAACCAATGTAGTTGGCATGGTTGTAGCTGAGGCGGGGGTGATGACGAGTGGCAGACCAGGGGTAGTGGTAGGACATGACAACATATTCATATTGAGCTCCCTGACTGCCATACCTCGGACCTGTTCTGGTCCCTGGCACATAAAACCCCGTACATTGATGGAAGCAGGAATAAATTTGAGCCATTCAGTGACCCATTTAATACTGCAGTCACACAACCAGGGATTATTCCTCACAGTGAGTTGCCTTAGGTTGTGGAGATTATCAAATACCCCTTTTACCAGCATCCGAAGCTGATTGTTGGAAATATCAAGACGCTCCAGCTTGTGGAGGTTTGAAAAGGCTGTAAGTGGTATATGGGTTATCTGGTTGTCCTGCAAGTAGAGCCTTAGTAGATGTGTACCTGGAAGATCAGGAGGAGGGTAGGTTAGTGAATTCCGTACTATTGAGAATTCCTTGAGCTTGGAGAGGTGGCTAAAGGTGCCTTCAGCTATGCCTTTATTAGTAAGGAGATTGCCATCCACAATCAGACGTTCCAAACTGGTAAGATTCTGGAAGGCCAGGTCAGAAATGACAGCAATTCGGTTTTCATCTACTCGAAGTTCCTGTAAGTCCACTGGAAGGCCTACTGGTACACTGCTTAGGTGATTCTTGGATAAGAACAGAAGCTTGAGGCTGACAGCTTCCCGAAATGCACCATCTTCAACACCAACAGTAGAGATGGAGTTGTCATCCAGATGCAGCTCTTCCAGCTTCAAGAGCTGAGCTAGGGCAGCCCGAGAAATGGTTTGAATGTTGTTTTCCTGCAGGTGGAGAACCCTAACGTTCTTGGGTAGGTTCATGGGGAATTCATCCAATTGGTTGCCATATAGGTAGACCGTGTGCACAGACTGGACATTGTGCAGCTCTGCAGGAAATCCAGCATTATTAATTTGGTTATTATGGAGGTAGAGGACGGTTACACCCTCCGGTATCCCAAGAGGCACTGAGGTCAAGCTTCGCTCATTACAGTAGACAAAGTTTCGGTCACAGCGGCACACTTTTGGACAGGCCAAAGTTTTGGAGACCTGCATGTAGAGCCCCAGGGAAAAGATAAGCCATGATTTCATGAGAACAGTCCAATCTGTGGGCCACATTCTAGTCCACGAGCCCATTTCTAATTTAAAGAAATAAAGTACCAAAGTATTAAAGAATTGATAACAATAATAAAGCACAGGTAGCAAAATCTCAGGTCATTAGAATTGACTTTAGTTTATGTCCAGCGTTCAGGCAAGAGATAAAGTCCCAGAGGCTAAGTATAAAATAATCCTTGCCTACCTCCCACTTCTGATAAGAAAGCCACAGTCCTATTAGCCAGGGTTACAAACTTTGTTGTCTTCCTCCATGTATGTTGAAAGAAACAATAGCTGTGTCTTTGCAGGTGAGCAACAAGTAATTTAAAGCTACCAAAAGGCGTCTGTATGTGAATTGCTTGGTGGGATAATACTTTCTTTCACTGAAGTCTGTTGGCGTTACAATCAGCTTTCTTCAGTCGGCAAAGTCCTCATATCAGCTATCTGCCGGATGCAGCCAACCTGTTAAAGAAGTGAAAAAGAAAAAGTTGAATAACATGAAATGTTTAATAAGGGAGGTCTAGCCCACTGGAGGACTATTCTAAGGCTGTACGCTTTATAGCATTCTGGAAAAAAGGTACTAATATTAAACATTGGCTTAGTATTACTATTAAGTAGTCTTGAAATAGATTGATTCAAAGTCAGTGCCATGATTGAAGGACTTGTAGTGACATCACTGCAGATTACATCAATCACTCGTTTTTGCATATTGTATCTCCAATCTTTGTCTCAATCATAATCTGTTTCAAATTCTAAAACTTAAGTGTTTCACTGGAAATTTATGCTTCAGTACTTTTTTTCTTTGCAGAAACACTGCCTTTAATGAAAGCTATGTCACTGATGCCTGACAGAGGAGATCTAGGCTGTTACTATGTAATCACATTCTATGTTTTTTTATTTCCTACCATACTCCGGAGTGTTCTGCTTCTGTTCTGCATGCTATTATGTATATTCTCCTCCAACTTAATGCATACTGCCAGAGTATTGCACCTCACTACACTGAATTAGCAGCTTATGAGGGGAGTCTTTTAAATAAGTATGGTAATCTATAAGTACAAGATATCCTGCTGTAAGGCATATGTTTGCTGAAACTATCATCAGGATTTTGTTAATGATGTGAACCATGTTGTCAATAGACTTCAGAAGCAGCATTCCACTAAATGAAAGTGGCTCACATCTGTTAAGATACTGTTTTAAGATATCAGCACAGAGTCAGGCAAAACTATAGCAGTTTTGCTGGAGAGCATTTCCTTTCCAACCATGAAGGTTAGGTACTTTTTTAAATTCTCCTAAGAAGTTATCTGTGAATAGCTTAATAAACAAATTTATTAGCTCTAGTACAGACAAGTTTTTAGTTATTTATTTTCTGCTTTAAAGTGTATTTTTTAACTTTCACCTTCCCTGATACTATTCATTATTCAGATTTAGATCAAACAATTCAAATTTCTAAAACATGCGATGAAAGATACCGTACTGTATGTTATTTTGCCTTGTTAAATGTTGTTTCAAATGACTATAAAAAGTTGCTGTGTTTTATGTATTCAAATCTAAAATGAAGGTTATAAACCTTGAAAAGTCCTAAGCATTTGTAGACCTCAGTGTCTTTGACTAAAGTTACATAAGCACAGTATTTTTCCACTTTGTTGGCTCAAATCAAAACTCATTGGTTGGGGCTTCAGGAAAACAGAGTTTCAGGAACCAGCTTTAAAAATCTCTTTTCCTTTATTTAAGCCACGTAAGCCCTGTCTGTCCTTTCCAGAAGTATAAGAAATGTAATTAAGGAGTGTATGTCATCTGAAGCCTTGTTTTTCTGCTACAGCTGTGCAGTTTATATGTCCCAAATGCTGCTTATGTGCAAGAAATGTAATTCGGTAGTACATGACATCTGAAAGCTCACTCTTCTGCTACAGCTGTGCAGTTTATAGTATGTCCCAAATGCTGCTTATGGAAACCCCACGGATAGAGAGTGTAGAAACTCTCTTTAGGAGTCAAACTCTTGCAACCTCTTAATAGGAATCTTTGCACTTGCAGATAACTATATTTATTTAGAAGCCTCACCAGGTATCACCCGCAAGGCTGGAACAGTTGGTGATAAAAAGTGAAACCCAGAAAGTCCTGTAGTCTATTATTATGCATCCAAAATGGTAAATGTGCCATATGCTTGCTTTGTATGCTGTCATCTTCCAGAAACAGTAAGATTAGCTCCTCTACCGCTCGAGGCCTTCCCTCTCACAGGCATATTTCAGTCAGGAGTGGTTTTGTTTCAATTATGTGAGATGACGTGATATTGTAGAGAAACTCTAACAGGATTACATCCTAACAAGAGCCTAAGTGTGACAGTTTATCTGCCTTTAATATGGCCTGGCTCCCATCTAGATCATACCGCTCTGATCTGTTATGACATTGTCTTTTTAAAATAAGAAAGGACGTGTAGAACCTCTTTTGAGATGCTTGGGACCATACAGAACATTAGTGGTTCTCCCACTCCTTTTCTGTAATCAGAGGGAAGTCATCTGTACCTCCTAATAGGCTAAATATCCTGCACCGAGTTCTGTTTTGATTATAAATTTGGTTGCTGTTTGGGCTTACTTTGACACCTGAATACGACAGAAAGCCCAGCTGAAGATGTGTAGCCACAGACCACAGCTTCTGATTCTCTCAGGAGGCAATATCATATTACAAGTGGCTTAAAGAGGTCCAATCACCTTACTTGAGGCCTCCGCCTAGAGTACCCCTCACCTATGTAAACTTGGCATCTGAATAAAATATTTCATTCCTATCTAGTGAAATGAGTGAAAACATATCATTCATTAGCTATTAGAATACCTTTGACTGGACAGTTACTTAAACTTAGCAGTGTTTTGGAAGCTGGCACTCTGGAGTTTCTCTCTTATTTTTTATGGTTATATAGGTTTTGCCCCTGGAAAGCTTTTAAAACTTTCCTATGGAATATTTTCTCCCATTACGCTGCTGAGAAAATGATTCCTTTTATTAATGCCAGTATCCTAAACTACAGCTAACAGAGACTAATAAACTGAGACTATAAAACCCATACTACAGAAAATATGCATTGTCACTCAGGTAACTGCTTCTGATTGTATTAAGGAAGAGTGCAAGGACAAATCTGATAAGATATTTATGACTTCAGTGTTGAGTGTGGTGTGACAGAAGGAAGGAATAAGGAAGCAAAGATAGAAATGAATGTATTTAAATAAATTATTTGGGAAAGGTTTTATCTCACCATTATTTTAAACTGTTTAATAATAACTTATAGTGGTAATATTTATAGCAGTAGTATTTTTCAGCAAGAGTCAGGGACCCTTTTGCCCTCAGGGCAAAGACTTACAGAGTTAAACAACCTGTTTGATTTTTAAAAGTAACACTGTGAGGAAAAAAAAAAAAAAATGCAAATTCCAGAAGGCTGGAAAATTGAAATAGTTTATTCCTTCACTAATTACCAAGACCGAAGGCAGCTACAGTAATTATGCTTTCTCCCCACCCCTTCCATGCTGGCCTCCTAAAGGGAAACCTATTTTCAATATTCTTCCAAGAAGTGCACTTACCGTCTCCACAAATGAACTGATCATTTGCAGGGGTAAAATTTTGAACGTGGAAGAATTAAGGACACTCAATATCTTTAGCTTTCATGCCTAAATCTTGGGAATTCTGTGAACCTGACTCATAGATGCTAGTGATTTCATTTGATCTGAAGCTGAAAAGTTCTAAAAAATTGTAAAAACTGATCTGTGATGAGAGGATGAGGGCAAGGGAATCTACTGTGTTAACATAAATTACAATAATCAATAACAAATATAGCAGTTATAACGCAATTGTCCATCACCACCTCGGTCATTTTTGCTTCTCCTTCCTTATCCTGTACATTTGATTTATATTATTTCTCACTATATCCTCCTTGGAGAACAAGTTATGCTTTCCAAGTGTCTAGCATGTTTCTTGCATTACTGCAGCTGGAATACTAAGTCCTGGTAAGATTTAGGGAATGATACAATAAGGATGAGAGAAGCAACTGAAATAGATGAGAACATACACATATGTTTTAGGTGGCCAGGTTTGAAAACTTGGCTTAGTGGTCTGAGTTCCTGAAATCAGTGCGAACTATCCCATTCACATCTTATGAGTTTCTGATCATTGTTTCTATCTCATTGTCTCTCTTCAAACCTTCTTTATTTAAATTCCCTTTTGGCTTGACTAGTGCTAGCTGCGGAAGAACAATTCTCATTCCATGTGCTAGGTAAAATTTTTGAATTTGTTTTTGTTCAAATTGAACAACTTCTTTCAAATTTTTTGATTAAAAGCATTTATACTGAAACATCAGGCTGTAAGTTGGGACAGTAAAGTCTCCCCTGCACTTGTTAGAGGTATTCACACAATTTCAAGCTATGCATAGCCATGAAACAATTTAATTTTAATAAACAAACATATTCCAATAATAAACATATTACTGAAAATGAATATTGAATTTACTCATTCGTATATTTTTGGTATCTAGGGAAAAAAAAAGCAGCTACTTCATAGAACTTTTTCTTATCTCATTGCCCAATATTGCCTCAGTGTCTGTGTCTACACCACTTTAAGAAGAAGCCCTGAAGCTTGCCAGGGCCAGCCTCACCACCCTTCATACTGCAGGCCTCTAAACATGCAGTCCTAAGTGTAGCAGTCAAGGTCCCTGAGGATGCTTAAGAACCTATGGATGTTCAATGGAGAAAATGCAGAAGTAGAAATCAAGGGAGGAAAATAGAATATGGAGCACGTTCTGCATATGACTATTTATAACCCCTTGTTACAGACTCAGGAGTTATTTTGCTGGGCTCCTGAGTCAGGTTGTCTGGCTTCACTAATTTTCTCATGTTGTACATTAAGGCTATTAATTTTTAGAGGCAATGAAAATAACAACATCTAGCTATTCAGTCACTCAAGGAATCCTTAAAAGAACTGAGAACAGGACCCAGGAATCCTAGATCCTTTTTCTATGACATTCTAACCACTAAACACCATCAGAACCTGAGCGCCATGCAACAGAAATGGAAAGGCAAGCAAAAATGAGAACAAATGGTCATAGCTACTGTTTTCACTGTTGTCAGTTAATGAATCCTGTTTAGCGCAAAACCATTCAGCATTAATTTACTTGGCTTTACTGCAGACAAAGGTCATAATCAAGCCATAACCTTACTCCATATCATTAGCATATACGGTAAGTACAAGGCTACTACGCATGGAACTGAATGACAACCAGAAAACAAATTCAGTTCCATTCTTTTGGAGCCTAGCACAGACAGCGCTTGAGAAAAATGTCCCTGTATTTCTATCAGCTGCTAACAAAAATAATTATGGAATAATACCTGATATATCCCTCTTTTATTTATAAATAGAGTTTACATCTAAACACGATTGAACATTATGCTTTTTTTTACTGATTAGGTGCCTAAGGTGATGGTTTGTTG